CAAGAGTGGAAAGAAGAAAGAAAACACCCATAAAAGGCTTCTACTCGGCGAGTCTGACCTTGACTCGACGAGTCTGGTCGCGGATTTAGAAAGATAAGCATTCGGAAGTCAAGATAGTTATCGGATTACGACTAACGTGAGAGGGACTCGACGAGTCACCATATGACTCGACGAGTCGGAACGCATATATAAAGATAACTCTACAATGCGAGAAGGGAGAATTTGGGGGAAGTTTCAGAAGTGCTTAGCTGCGAATAAGAAGCCAGAAGAACCCTAGAAGTCGACCAAAGAAGCTAGAATCCAATTCCGGGAGTAATTAAGGCGTAATTTCACCATTCTACTTAATTCTTTTGTTTTGTCAACATGATTAAGCAACTTGAACTTATTTGTTTGCTGTTATTTACCTTAGTTATGAACTAATTTCTTTAGACTTCTGTTTGGGGATACAAAGTTGACAATATGGTTTGATTGATTGGTAGGATTAATTCTAAGTTGGTGATTAATTGTTATTTTAGCTTGCTAAAGAACCTTGTGTATGAATGATAATTTATTTTCTGTTAATAGGAAGATAATTGATTAGCATGAACATCTATTGATTATCAACCTCATATGATATGTGACCACTAAATCATATGTCTAGGATTAATGAATATGAAACTAGGATTAATAAGGAAATTGAGTAAATTCATGTGCAAGCTTGTAAGATGACCATCGAACAAGAGGCTAATTAAGAATAATGAATTAATTAGCTATTGCAAGTCTAACTTAACCCGAATAATTAATCTAGTAAATATAATTAAATTAAGCAATTGGCCACTGTTTGAATTAGTTTATTTGCTAAGGATTAGGGTAGTGAACACAAACTTAATCACTTGAATCGGTAACCAACGAAAGAATTAATCCATTGCACTATTACCTTAAAAATCAACCATAAAGTTAACCGAGTTGAACTAAACAGAAGTTTCTTTCCCATTATTGAATCTAGTTAATTTGTTCTTTTCTAGTCTTGCATGAGTTTTAGTTAGTAAGTTTCTAGTCTTGTAAAACTAGAGAAAAAACCCCTATTTGCTTAATCAACTTAGATAGAATTAGTTTTTAATTTAATTTGTCGTTCCCTGTGTTCGATACCCTGCTTATTTAGCTATACCACAATTGATAGGTTCACTGCCTTTTGTGTGTTATTTGATAATTAAAGTAGGATTAAAACTAAGTGAGTTTTTACACACATCAGTTGCTATGCTTCATTTATATTCAAATGTTATGATACTGTACACAAAGTCATCCGCCCGCCATCCTGGTTCGGGGGGTGTGACAGTCTTCTTCAAGAAAACCCACATCTCCATTAACACCAGAATTCATGTCAGCCTCGGCCACCACCGGCGATAACCGCTCATACACACACACACGAGACAACCTCTATACACTTGAATATTTTCTCATTTACAAATAATATTCTCTGAAAATTTAACAAATCATTACTAAACAAAAGATAAAATCATATCAGTATAAAAAGGTGAAATAAACATGATGGAAACAGTGAAAGGAACAAATGGGGCTTGAAGTTCATTGTTGCTGCAACAACTTCTTGATGTTTAAACAATCAACAATTACTCAAGTATTTTTCATGAAGACCTTTGAGTTCTTCAAGTAAGCTTATCTATAACTACACTATCGCTCAAATCTGAGTTTGTAATCTGTAACAAGTTTCTAGAGGGCAGCCACATAAAAATGATGGGCTGGTGGTGGTTATTCATAATGATTGGGATGGTGTTGATGAAGCCACCATTAATAATTTTAGTTGCTAAAAAGTCCACCATAGATAATCTTCGAAAAATAAAGCAAAATCCCCTTAGCTGTTACCTGAATCATCAGAGGAAGAAGATGATGACAATGGAGATTATGATTCCAACTTTTTAAGTGAAGCCTCAATATTTAGAAATGATGATCATGATTTGATTTCCATTAAACCTTAATCAACCATAAATCTACTCCTCTGATTCAATACCTCATTGCATTTGATAAAGGGAAAATGACTTATATGGGTAACTATGATTCAAAATCGTTCAAAAAATACCATTCAAGTTTGGTGTGTCCAAAAAATACCATCCAAGTAAAGCATTTGTACAAAAAACACCAACGAAGTACATTGTTTGTTCAAATTTGACCTTGTGGTAACCGGCAATTACCGATAAAAAATAAGTAAAGGAAAAAAACCAAGAGGAAATGACTTACATGGATAACTATGTTTCAAAATCGTCCAAAAAACACCATCTAAGTTCGGTATGTTCAAAAAACACCATCCAAGTTTGGTATGTTCAAAAAACACCAATAAACAAAATTTTTTGTTCAAAGATTACCCACCAGCAACTGGCTCTTATAGGTATGACAAATAATTATTGACAAAACAATAAATGATATATTCCTCCTTTAAAAATCGATTTAGGGTTTCTTCATGAAAGAATGACTTATTCTTCTCCTATGATTGATCTTCTTCTTCAAAAGTGATGATCTTGAACTCAAGTCTAAAACCCTAATTCATAACTTAAGGAAAAAAGGGCTCCTTTACCTCTACCTTAATGAGCCTCCCTCCCTCTAAGGCCCAAATCCATAAAAAGCCCAAAAAGGCATCTAAGACCAACTACAAGGCCTCTAAGGCCCAATATGGCCCAAAAAACCCCCAACATGGCCTTAAGAGTGGTCTCGAGGCCTAACTTAAACAAGTCCATGCATACGCCCAACATATGCTGAAGCCTCTGCGATCTGGATGTCGAGCCAATACGCCCGACGTACTCCTAGCGTACACCCAACGTACTCAGCTAGGGTCAAGAACCGCCAATCTTACGAAGGCCATAACTTCTTCATTCTATGTCCGATTTCGTCATTCTTTATATCCAGATATGATATGCAGTTACCGGTTGAAAGAGACCGAAAGGGTAGTTCAGCACCTAGATATGCTAGGCAGTTACCGGTTGAAAGAGATCGAAGAGGTAGGCCAGCACCTAGATGTGCTAGACAGTTACCGATTGAAAGAGACCGAAGGGGTAGGCTAGCACCCGGATATGCTAGGCAGTAGGTTATTGTATTGTATGATGGGGGAACTCACTAAGCTTTGTGTTTACGGTTTTCGGTTTTGGTTTTAGGTACTTCCTCTTTGAAGGGAAATGAGCCAACATGATCGCAGCGCATCACACTACATTTTCCGCACCGAAGATATTGGGGATTTTTACTATTATGTTGTTTTATCATGGCATGTTTTGACTATTGATACTTTGGTTTTGATATGAGTTGATACTATGGTTGTTTTCAGACATATGGTTTTATAATTGTTATATTAAAAATGAAATTTTTGGTCGTAAATTTTGGGATCTTACATTTTGACCGTGATCCGATCAAAACCTTTAATAATTATATGGGTTTGGAGCGTAGTTTTTGATCCGTTTACTCGTTAACGACCCATACCCATTAACCCTTTTATTAAAATGGTCGGATATGGATCATCACTGATCCACTCCATTTATATCCCGCGCCCGTATAAATTGTAGAACTATAAATTTATATTTTATACAACCTAAAGTTTACTTTTAATTCTAATCGAAAGTCCAAAGAGAAAAGACCAAAGACTAAACTGTTTTTACATATGAACTGAGGACTCGACTTCTAGACTTTCAGTATTCTAGCATGACACGTGATGTCATTTCATTTATATTTCATCAACCAAACAATCATTTATCAATCAGAAGAAAGTTTGAAATTGTTATTCTTTATCAATGCAATCAACAGTCAAAAACCAATCAGAAGTTACTATGAAATTGATTTTAATTCCAATCAAAAGTTCTTGAGTACGTAATGTGTTATTTAAATCAGGTTACGGGACGGGTTTGGATATCTGTTGATTCGACGGATAAGAGTATGTATTTGATTATTCAAAACCCAACGGATTACAGAGTGGGTTTGGATCGGAATTTGAAATGTGTTAAATGGATTTGAATCAAGGTCGATTCGCTCCAAACCTGCCCCATTGCCAGATCTAGTGATGACCGTGTTTGCGGTGAATTTATTGATCTTATATTTTTGAATGAATAAAAAAATATAAAAATTATACTACTATATGAGACAACTTGTATAATTTAAGAGAGATGACATATTTATTATATAATATATAAAAAAAAAAAGTTCCCAATTCAATAGTACTTACTGTTGATTGGACCAACTTTTTTTATTTCTTTTTATCTTAATTTTTTTACCCATTTGCTGTAAGTTTTTGGTGTATACCGTATAACCACTATAAGTGTATACCAGGTGTATATGGTTTCAATATGTAATTCCACACGCGTCATCTTCTGCTTTACCACCGACTTAGTTTTTGCTACGTCTCCTTCACCTCCACCATCGTCCAATAATAGATATGTACCACCATTTCGTCTTTTCAAACCGACACAACTTCTGTTTTCTAGATCCCTCAACTCCACCGCCATTCCCACTGTTTTTTTTTTCTTCTATCTGTTCAACGATCTATTGGAGGGAATAGCAGTCAGATGTGATGAGAGGGTTCATCTTCCGTCCATATCTCTCTCTTCTTCTATATCTCTCTATGTCTACTACTCACCTTCCCCACCTTGGTTTGATCCTCCACCGGCTTCCGTCTAAAGCAACTCCAAACCACCCTCTCCACCCTTCTAATTTGTCGCCTCAAGGACACAAACGAGAGAACGAAGCAATTAGATCTACTCCGATTTCCCGATCGTTTTACCTAATCTCAGATGTATTCTTCGCATCTGTCGACTCAATTTCTTTTTTCTAAATTTCTAAGGTTTTTCTCTTGCTTACCTGTTCAACATCATCACCGATTTCGTATTATAATTAACATATGATTGGTTTCTTCGCTTACTTGATAACCCCAAATAAAATCTAAATTGTCTACTGCTTTCTCGAATTGGATATACAGAGGTTTCACATTGAGATTGAAGTAAATCCTAGCAATCCTAGATGACTAAGAAGGAATGATGGAGTCAAAGGAAACCACAAGTGTTAAGGTATGTGATTTACTTTCAATCGGTGCATGTACTTCTCTTTCCCTTTTATGCTTCTATCAGCGTCGACTTGCAAAGATCGATTATCATAAATTCTGAAAAACGATGATCGATTGAAGGTCTTCCGGTCAAGCAATCTTGGCCATGCGAAAGAAGAAGATGCACATGAACTTTTAAGGTGAATTGACTTATACTTCTGCATTTATGATTTATGCCATTTAAATTGTTGTAATAGTCTCTTAGTGAGTTGACTCAGGTATCAAGCGATGTTATTACAGTTATGATATTGATCCTTTGCAATCCGCCTGTCTTAAGGAATCTAGAACAAAATCCTTCAACTCCTTAGAAGAAGAAACAACTCTAATCGGACTTGCATTTGGTGGTTATCTAAGATCTAAGGTAAGAATGTGTATTATTAACTACTTCAAATCATCTTTATGTAAAACACAAAAAGCTTCTAATTTCTAAAGCTACTGTGGCTTTTGAATTGTAGATAAAGTGCATGAAATGTGGTGGAAAATCAGAGCGACATGAGCGGATGATGGATCTCACTGTTGAAATTGAAGGTGATATAGCAACTCTTGAAGAGGATCTGGATAAATTTACATGCACTGAAGTAGTAGATGGTGAAAACAAGTACAAATGTTGCTAATTGCAAGGAACTGGTGGTGTTGTTGCATAGAGAGGAAGCCACTACTTGAAAACATCAATTTCGAATCCTCAAAGCCAAATTGCCTTATCAATTTGTAACAATTTGTATTTATTTTGCTTCTATGTGTAAAGAAGCATTAGTAAAATGATATTATTCACAAAGTACCAATCAAAATGCACTATGTTTAGACAAACAAAAAACAAAACCTCTCCTAGCCTGTGCAAAACATGGGTCTCTTCTCTAGTTAAAATAAATAGAAAGTAATTAAATAAATCATATCGACCCAAACTGTAATATAGACTTCTTGTAAAAAAAATATCAAAACCTAGACCTAAAGTGCAGAACATTGCAAACTATAATGATCAAAAGTGTAATAACCTATTTCTTGCAAATTAAAAATTAATTTCAGAAAACTAAAACTATAGGATCCGAAACATAATCCATACAAACCAAAATCTTTACGGACCAAAAATGTATTTTTAGTAAATCCTCCTTAATAAATGAATATTTTTTTACCACATGTGAATCTCTCATGAGTTTTGTATTTGTTATTTTATGGTAATTTTGAAATAAATATTATCCACTTGTCAATTTTTGGTTTGTTTTAATTTTTAATTAAAGTCATATATATATATATATATATATATATATATATATATATATAAAGTATTAAATATGATATATATGATACTAAATTGTAATAAATACGTTTCTTTCTTTTTTATTTTAAATTTGTACATTAAAAAATATTTCATTTTTTATACTTTAAGTTTAATTATTTTTTAAATCAACCCGTATAATATATGAGTCTCACACATAATTAAAGATTATAGAGACCAAAAATGTTTTGTTCTTACTTCCTTCTTCTAAGATAAAAAGTACATGGACCAAAAGTGTAATTCCATAAATGTAAAACTACACGGAAGAAAATTATACTTTATGGATAAAAATGTCATTTATGTAAATTAAAAAAAAAAACATGGTTAAAAATGTAGTTCCGAAAAATTAAAACCACAACGACCATTTCATTTTGATTATTTCCTACATTTAAGAGATACAGAATATGATACATTAATAAAAAAGAACCGGAAATTATTCATGTATGTGTGCAAATGAGTGTTTTCTTTGAATTAAATACATAAATATTTTTTAGGCAAAAGATCTATAGTCTGCGAACCATATATGAAGATCTCTACATAGAAGAGGTGGATCGGGTCGGACAACATATATGTATATGCTGATGTTATCGGTATCGGTCCAAATGTATTTTAAGCACGGTACGTGAGAAAATAAAAAGACCCTGCAAAGAAATAAGTATAATTTTTTCTTTCTAAAATCTACTAATTTAAAGGAAAATACTTATTATAGCGTTTTTAGATATAAAATAATTGAAAACAATATCAAAATAAAATAACATTATTTTAGAGGTTGTTTTGTGTGCCTTCTGTCCGTTTGATCATGATTTCGAATCCAATAAAACCGATTTTCTTCGATGTTATGAACAAAATAGTATCAAGATCAATTGTCAAACATATATTTTTCCATACATAAAGTAGTCAAACCGTTCGATATTCCTTTGACGCCTATGAACTATTTATTTTATAACTTCAATTTTGAAAAATTTATCTTTACGGATGCTACAATCACAAAATTTGTTAATATGATTCTATATGCAATGAGATTCTTACTGTTAAGACTTAGGAACTGAGATGACACAAATCGACTAATCAATTCTATCGTTTCTTGATTGCTTATAGGCCACCCGTTTACAATTTGTCGATTTCGATTTCTCTCATTTTGGTTGCACATGCCACCTTATTTATGAACAACAATTACTTTTTTCTGTTTTCAGTAATGTATCAAATTGGGGCATTCGAGTTTGGGGGATTTTACTTTTTTATAATTTTTCTTATTTTGTTCTTAAAAATAGAGTAATGATTATATTAATATTAAGAGAGAATTTCATATATGCCCTTGTTAAACAACTAAATATCGTATTTGTCCGGCCTAAACTCTAAATATTATATTTGTCCTTCTTAATGTTTTTAATATCATATATGCCCAAATCTATTATTATTATTATTATTATTATTATTATTATTATTATTATTATTATTATTATTATTATTATTATTATTATTGATTTATAATCTTTTTTATCATTTTAAAATCATTAAAGCTAAAAAAATTTCAAATGGACAAAATTGCCCTTAGTTTTAAATTCCAAAACAATACACACGTTCACAAGGGATTATGGATCACAGCTTCATTGTGCTCTATTAAAATCTCTGGTTGTAGCTTCCTTTCGTATCACATCTTCCTGCTAACTGCAACACACAACACCCTTTTCCCCCTGTTGTCGCACACTCACATCATCACATCAGGTAAATCGATTTCAACTTATTCCTATTTTCCATCTCTTCAATTTCGATTTTAGGGTTCCTAGTTTCAGTTGTTCAAATTATTTTTACAATCAGCTTAATTATGTTGAATTTGATAGCTTAGTTGTGTTGGATTTGATTCAAAAAAATCCGGTTTCCAATGAACTTCTAATTTTGAATTTCGCCTATTATCTTCAGCCACAGTGACATTTGACCCCAATCGATCCAGCTGGTATAAAGTTCTTCACAAGTAATTGTTTTGTTATTTGGATTTTGGTATTACATCAGCTTACCATGTATTTTGCTTATGATTAAATCTTTAGAAGTATGTTTTCTTAATTTGATTTTTGTATAGTATCAGCAGGAACTAAATCAACAGTAGTGAAATTGAATCTATGGAAAATATGAATATGATTGAAATCAATTACCTTATGCGTGATACGTGATGCGTGTGCGTGATACGTGATACGTGATACGTGTGCGTGATGTGTGTGTATGTGAAAACAGGAGTCTGTGATCGTGAGGAAGACGCCAGAAGCCAGCGGATGTAAATGTGATTACAATAAAAACGTGATCTATGTAACAAAAAACATGATATGTGTATTGTTTTGGAATTTAAAACTAAGGGCAATTATGTCCATTTAAAATGTTTTTTTAGCTTTAATGATTTTAAAATGATAAAAAATATTATAAATCAATAAAAATAATCAAAAAAATAGATTTTGGTATATATGATATTAAAAAACATTAAGAAGGACAAATACGATATTTAAATATTTAGAGTTTAGACCGAACAAATACGATATTTAACTATTTAGCAAGGATATATACGAAATTATATATGAAAAATTTGGGCTCTTTCGGAATGGTCCTTGCGAATTGCCCAGCGCGGGGCCTTGATGTTTGGTTTCTTAAATTTATGGAATTAAAAATTATAATCAAGTTGGTTTCTTTAAGTGAAATTCTTAGACATTAAATGAGATTTTGAGATATTTTTTTTTCTTAGTTTTCATACCAAAAGTCAATATATTTACGTCCCTATCAGCTTCTCATTTTGCCATTTCTCTTTTTTTTAGATGAAATATTATCGTGTCATTGTTTCTATTTTTTTTTTTCTTCTTATATATATATATATATATATATATATATATATATATATATATATATATATATATATATATATATATATATATATATAAAGTTGAATTATTCCCATAAAAAATATATGTTATTTTTGTCTTGTACTTATTAAATTTTTGTGGTAGGTCTTTAAATGGTTTAGTTGTTGGTCTTTTAAAAGTTTTTGGTATGCAAGCTAAGCATTATATTTTATTTTATTTTATTTTTGCAAAAATATCACAAAACATTGTAAAGTTTGCAACAATGAACCAAAAATTAGAAAAAAATAATAATTTAAAAGGTTATTTTATTTGAGTTTAATTGAAAGTAGATGTAGGCATGTGGATTCGTCTAATCAAAACCAAATCACATAAGGAGAGGATCTTCTTAATGTTTTTCTGTTGTTCCTTTTGTTTTGTTTTAAACAAAATAAAGTTCGATTTGTAATGATCTTTTAACTTTGCTAATTTCCATTAATTTTCATTCAATAACTATTTAAATACTTATTAAAATAAATTTATAATAAATTAGTAAATGTTATTAATTTATAGTGTATACTAAATTAAAAATATATAATTAATTTGTAATGTGTTCAATAAAAAAGTATATGCTATAATATTTTTTTAATAAAAATAAATTAAACCAGACCAAATGATTCATATAAGAATTACAAGGGCGTAAAATGCCACATTTCGTAACTACGAGGGAATAAATGTCATTATTCATAACCACAAGGAGCTAATTATTATTTTGTAAAATTGTAAGTCAATTAATCCATTCTCCGGTTTCATATCCTTGACTCTGCTTCTCCTCTTTCATCAATCTCTCTCTCTCTCTGATGAAACCCTCAAATCCCCCACAATTCTCGTCATTAAAACCCTGTAATTTCCCCCAATTTTCGTTATAAAAACCCTCCAATTCTTCAACGATGATGAATCTCGTGTCTTGCTTAAATTGCCACACGCAGTTGCAGCCTCCGCCGGGAGCTACATCGATAAGATGCGCCATATGTCAAGCCATCACCCACCTTAACGACCCTCGTGTCGGAGCTCCGCGGCCTCATACCGGTGGTTATCCGGCACCTTCTTCATCCTCTTATGCTCCTCACCAACCCTCGCCTTACAACCACACTCCGCCAGGGCCTCCGCCGTCTGCACATGGCAGGAAGAAGGCGGTGATCGTAGGCATATCGTATAAAAACTCGACGCATGAACTTAAAGGATGCATTAATGATGCTAACTGCATGAAATATCTTCTGATTAATAAGTTTAATTTTCCTGAAGCTTCTATAATCATGCTTACCGGTAAGAACCCTGATTCAAACCTTCATTATACAGCTGTTAAAATTCGTTATCCTTTTACATTTGTTGAATCTTCTGGTAATCACATTACATGATAGAGTCAATTAAAGCACCGGCAATCTGGTTTATGCTTGATCGTTTATGCGATTAATTTGATTGACAGATTCTCATCAACAAATCCGTCTTAAATCTCTGAAAAATATGCAATTCTGTATTACATGCACAGCTGATTTTGATCTTAATCCGGGAACTATATCTATGAATTTATGATTTAACAACCACTAGGTTAATTTTTTCTAAGTCCTAACACATATTTGGATTATAATCGCAGAGGAACAAACAGACCCTTACAAAATTCCAACAAAGCATAACATGAGGTTGGCACTTTTCTGGCTAGTTCAAGGATGTCAACCAGGCGACTCACTTGTTTTTCATTATTCTGGTCATGGTTCACGACAAAGGAACTACAATGGTGATGAGGTTGATGGATATGATGAAACCTTATGCCCTCTGGATTATGAGACACAGGGTATGATTGTTGATGATGAAATTAATGCAAGTATCGTTAAGCCTCTTCCTTTTGGGGTTAAACTTCACGCCATTATTGATGCTTGCCATAGTGGCACTGTACTGGATCTTCCATTCCTTTGCAGAATGAACAGGTTAGTTTATCTGTTTCTGGTTTTTTAGTGTAAATTATGACATAAATCTTGTTATTCATGTTAATCTTGAAGAAATGAAGGAGGTAAGATGATTGTAGGAATAATCTTTACCTTATCTTTGGTGTCATAGGAGTGGGCAATATATATGGGAAGATCATCGACCTCGGTCAGGTATATATAAAGGTACCAATGGCGGTGAAGTCATTTCCATAAGTGGTTGTGATGATGATCAAACATCTGCTGATACATCTGTAAGTTCCACAAAACTTTTTAAATGACCATTTTACCCTTCTATATGTATTAAGTTAAAAAGAAATGCCCCTATATATCTATCCCTCACTAAGTCAAAATGAAATACACATTTAAAGTAAGTTTCTTTCTTTTTCTTCTATTAAGTTTTGTATGGATAAATGAACTGTTAGGCCCCGTTTGATAGTTGCTGACTGAGAAAGTGCTGACTGAGAAAGATCTGTCTGAGTAAGAAATTCTGACTGAGTAAGAAATCATGTTGTTTGATTGAAAATCTGACCGAATGTGCTGACTGGTGTAAAATGACCATTTTACCCTGATGCTATACACGTTTCTATGCAATATAATAATAATAATAATAATAATAATAATAATAATAATAATAATAATAATAATAGACATTAATAATAATAATAATAATAATAATAATAATAATAATAATAGACATTAATAATAATAATAGACATTAATAATAATAATAATAATAATAATAATAATAATAATAATAATTTATACAAAAACCTCCGCCATAATAGACATTAAATATATTATTTTAAAGATAAAACACAAAAAACCTTTCAGCTTGCTGGCAAACACCATTACTCCTACAAGGGAGACCCAAGTTCTATTCTTGTAGCCTTTATTAGTTGTGAATTTTTATCCAAGCCAAGGGTACTATTGGAAAGCCTTGTTTTCTTTCTCAGTCAGCCAACTCCCAACTTCTTTCTCGGTCAGACATTGCTTTCCGAGTCAGACGACAAGATTTTATCTATCAAACACCTTTTGTCTGACCGAGTCAGCAAAAATGTCTGACCTGACTCAGCCAGATGCCATATCAAACAAGGCCTTAGAATACATGTAAATGACCATTTTACCCTTTTGTATGTATTAAGTCAAAAAGAAACGCCCCTATATATCTATCACTCATTAAGTCAAAATGAAATACACATTTAAAGTAAGTTTCTTTCTTTTTCTTCTATTAAGTTTTGTATGGATAAACGAATTGTTAGTAAATGACCATTTTACCCTTCTCGATGTATTAAGTAAAAATGAAACAGCCCTATGTATCTACCCCCCCCCCCCCCCCCCCCCCCCCCCACACACACACACACACACACTATTATGTCAAAAAGAAACATGCATGTAAAGCAAGTTTCTTTTTCTTCTATCAAGTGTTGTATAGATACATGAACTGTCAGAATTTGTGTAAATGACCATTTTACCCTTCTATATGTATTGAGTAAAAAAGAAACACCCCTATTTATCTACCCCCCATTAAGTCAAAAAGAAACATGTATTTAAAGCAATTGTTTTTCTACTTTCTTCTAGTAAGTTTTGTATGGATAAACAAACTGTCACAATATGTGTAAATGACCATTTTACCTCGCAATATGTATCAAGTAAAAAAGAAACTCCCCTTTAAGGCGGAATATGTGACACAAGACTGATGGAAGGGTCGATGAGGGCAATTATGTCTTTTGCACATACAAGAAGTTCAAGTGCTCCTTGGCTCACCTTGTTCTAACTTTTGGGATGAGACAAAAAGTTATAATTTTTGCCTTATTGACATCAGTTTGAGTCCCAGTTCAACACCAAACACACTACAATCTGTTCTGTCTTGTCTTGTCTTGTCCTACCAAACACAGTACAATCTGTTCTGTCTTGTCCTGGCCTGGCATTATCATTGTATTAATTATTAAAATAGAAAAACATTTAAAGTAACATTTTTTTTGGGAGCAGGCATTATCAAGGATCACATCAACAGGAGCCATGACTTTTTGTTTTATTCAAGCCATAGAACATGGAAATGCATCAACTTATGGACACTTATTAGCTTCCATGCGTAATGCCATCCGTAGTGCAAGAACCGACATGGGTGGCGGTGGCGGTGGTGGGGCGGTGACTTCTCTTCTCTCTATGTTATTGACAGGCGGCAGTCTCACCGGTGGACTATCCAGTGGTGGACTTACCCAGGTATCAATATCATCTCTAACACATTCCAAAACTCTAAAACAACTCAAATCAATAAACAATTACTCATTAAAACCATTTACTTGTTTAGAGTAAATTACACAAATGGGCCCTATGGTTTAGGTTAATTTGCACGTTTGGTCCCTATCTTATTTATTTTTTTTTTTAACTCGGATGGTCCCTATTGTTTGTTTTTTGTTACGCGTTTGGTCCCTATCTTACCTAAAAAGACTTTTTTTTTTCTTTAAATTATTTAATTTATTTAAATAAACACACTCCTAACCCCAACCCTCTCACATTACCTTACATACCCCACCATTTTTTCCTTTGTAAATAATAGTCTTTTTAGGTAAGACAAGGACCAAACGTGTAACAAAAATAAATAGTTGGGACCATGCATGTAACAAAAACAAACAGTAGGGACTTTCCGAGTTAAAAAAACAAGTTAGGGACCAAGCATGCAAATTACCCCAAACCGTAGGGACCATTCGTGCAATTTACTCATTTGTTTATTATAATAGGAAGAAATGAAAGTATAATATTTTTTTTTTGGAAAGTGACAATTTTTGAATATTTGATTTGTTGTAGGAGCCACAATTGACAGCATGTCAGCCTTTTGATGTGTATGCAAAACCGTTTTCCTTGTAATTTATGATGGTGATTATTCGATTACTTGACAATTGACTCATTTATGAAAAAAGGGGTTCGGGTTCTTTGCAAAATTTAGGTGAGTGGTTTATAATTTGTGATAGTGATGGATTTTATTTCATATGTTTTGATTATTTATTGTTTTAAGGACTTGGATCATTTCGTGTAAATTTAATTTATTTTATGATTTTATTGTAAAAACCGGAGACATACTCTTTGATTTTTATAGAAAGAAACTATCTTGAGTAGAAAAAGAAATAGTCATTGTGAGTATGTATAACTAAAGACATAAGATCACAAACTAACATGATTGTAAAGGTTATTTGTCTAATTCGAGATGAATGAGTGAAGTATTGATGGTTTGATAGACTTTTTGGGCCCTACCATGCTCGGTTTTAAGTTAACTTGATGAATTTTTGAGTCTCGACTATATTATTATATCATTATTATAAAAACTAAAGATGTAGGATCGGATTAGGGTAAGATGTTAAGATTTAAATCATGATCTTAAATCCCAGTATAGATGTTTTTTCAAATAAATCCTGATGTGAACATAATCGTTTTTTTGTACATACAATATTAACAACCATATATAAACCTATGTTTAAACAAAGACAAATATATAAGTTTTTGACACTTTTCAAATTTATTACAAGTATACTAAAAATCACTATATAAAGTTTGTTGCATCACCAGTTTCAATGTAACATTATCACCCTCTAAACTTTTTTATAAATATCCATATAGCTTATGATGCCCTGCTTTTGGAATGTAACTTTGTAATTGTGGTTTGGAATAGAACTCTGTAGTTGGTGTGAGGTCACTTGTTTAAACCCAAGGGATATGAGATCTTTATTCAGTGCAGATAATCTTCTTATCAAAACCCAAAAGGTAATAAAACTCAATCATATGATTCTAATGGCGACCTTAAGAAATCTTTAGAGATCAATGAACGAAACAATTTTTAAAAAGCTGAAACGTTGTCCTGTGAAAGTTATCGACCTGACAATGGCTTTTACTTGGATAAAACATAGGGGAAAGAAAAACTCCATTTGCTGGAAAAAATGGTGTATCGAACCTATTGGCTGCTTTTGATGTTTTTCCTTCTTTTTTGTTTTTTTGTTTGTACTCTTTTGTTTTGGCTAGCTCCTTGCTAGTTTTGCCATAACTTATGTTGCCTTTTTGCCGTTTAAAAAAAATCTCTCAACTATTCATAAACCTTTTAAAAGTTTATAAGTGGTCCAACCCTTTTAATTATGATTTTAATATATATATATATATATATATATATATATATATATATATATATATATATATATATATATATATATATATATATATATATATATATATATATATATATATATATATACACACACACACACACACATACACACACATACACACACACAAACCGTTTAACCGCGCCAAGCGACGAGTGCGAATAGTTTGTTTGACAATTAATTTCTTTTGTGTGAGCAATGATTAGTTTCAACTTAGAGATTAGTTCGTTTTAAGAAACATGTTATATTAAAAATAAGATATATAATGTATTGGATTATCAACATTGGTTTCAATTTAGCGATTCATGTTTTTTTTTTCAACAAACAATGTATCATTTAATGCATTCATTTATGGTTCATAATATCTTTCAAAAATGTACTTTAAAAAAATACCTTTCAATGTATTACTGAAACAGCACCAAATGGTTCATAATATCTTTCAAAGTACAATATCATTGTTTGTAGTGAACCTTACTTTAACAACACAATGTTATAATGTTTTCCATTTATATTTATATTTTTCCTTACTAAACCATTGTACTTGAAAGGTACAATGCTATAACTTTTTTACATACACACTATTATAGCACAACTGATAGTTTCATATACTTATTTAACAAAACATCAGTTTCCAAAAAATACCTAGTTGGTTACTTTTTTTGTTAAAATGATTATTTCATTAACATAAAAACCATTCGTCAAAAAACAAAAGCATGGTTTCTTGTAGACCTTAAGAACAATTAGGATGCCGTTTATAAAACCCATAGAATATAATCACACGAAAAATACAAAAATTTAAATTCGTGACCTATCTTAGCTGCCTTGAAACTCTTTAATTTTCAGGAATTCTAGCCTGAAACCATAAGTAGTCCAACATTAGAATCATAATATATAAACCGAAATATATGTGTATAATGTGTATGTAAGGATGTGATGCTTGCCTTGTTTAAATACTTTTTGTGAATTTTTATCATCCATGATCTGGAATAATAAAAGTCATAAATGGTCTTAAATTCTAGGCCAAATTTCAACCAATATGGGCAAATAATATACTTTTATTTTTTTGTTTGGCACAAAATTCTAACGAATAGTTGTATGATTTATAGCGAACCTTGGCAACATCATCTAGGCCCTTAGCCTCATTCAAGAGTTTCTTGTTTTTGGTTTCTAGAACACTTGCAACCAAGAAAACAACAAGAATTTTTTTTAATATGTTCGTCCATTCTTCACGTTTTTTCTCTCATATTTTCCATATCGTTGCAACACTTTCTTGCTTAATTTTGTTGTTACAACAACTTCATTCGAACCATTTGAAGCATAATGAGCAAACATTTTTGGATTATACTCCATGGCCCACATAACCTGAATTCACATTTCTAAACAAAAACATCATCTTTCATCTTTCCAACTTCATACAGTAAAACAAATGAGTATAATATAGGTCTCTTTTACCTCCCATAGATATAACACATCTACAAAGGAAAATTCTTTTCTGAAAAGCACCATTAGCATACGAATTGCAAACACATATTCTCCTCCATCCAACCCCTCTGATTCAAGTAAATTAAATAAAAAAAATATCGTCGGTTTATTTAAAACTTAAAAAAGCTTTTACCATAAACAGTAGATGAAAGTTGAAACTTAGTAGTACTAAAATAACAGTTTTACTAAAATGTGAGTCTACTATTTGATTACCGGAAGAGTAAAATATAGAAAAGATTAGTAAGAGCATGAAGTCTTCATTGAATTGTAGCTATAAATGGAAGCAACAAATTGAACCTGTCAACAAATCGAAGCAACACCAAACCATTGAAAAAATAATTATAAGAAGTGGCGAGTAGTTACATGCCAATAGTAGCAAGGGCCATCCTTTTTCTAATAAACCTTGAAACGAATAAGAAGTCTTCGATAGTTTGCTTGTGAAAAACACACATTCAGAAAAGGCGAATAGAGAGAAAGAGAAAGCAGTGACACTTACTAATGAAAATCAAAGCATTAGAAAATAGGTGATAGAGGTTTATCAGAAGAAACAATGCAAATCTGGAGCCGCAGGGATCAAAATCGATTAAGATTTTTGTGTAGATTTCAACTTGTGAAATTGAGAAAGGAAACTCAATTCAATTTATGGCGTTGAAGTCTTTGATAACATATAAATTTGGGAAGATAACGAAGGCCAGGTCAATACAATAAAGAAAGGGAAAATGACTTAAAAGCCTAACGAAGTTTCCAAACCGTTTAAAAAACTCCAATCATGTTTTGTCTGTTAAAAAAAACCCAACAAACTTAACATTTTATCTAAAAAGTCCAACTAAGTTACACTTTTTCGAAAGTCAAATAAGGAAAACAGATGACGTGGCTTATTACCGTATCGGAAAAATGACTTGTTAGACCAACGAAGTTTCCAAAACGTTTAAAAAACTTCAATCATATTTTGACTGTTCAAAAAAAACCCAACGAACTTAAACAAAACAAAATTGGAATTTTCTGAACGGTTTGAAACTTTGTTGGACTTTTTAGATAAAATGTTAGGTTCGTTGGGTTTTTTTGAACAGACAAAACATGATTGAGATTTTTTGAATGGTTTGAAAACTTCGTTGGGCTTTTAAGTCATTTTCCCATAAAGAAAAGGCTACATAGTGGGAAGGTTGTTGTACATGATATGGAATAAGGATCTGGTCAAGATCCATCCTGGAGATTTAAGGTTTAAAAGTAAGTTGACTGGATAAGATTCATGATTTCGGGAATGCATAAGGTTGATGTAAATATTGCTTTAAGGGGTGTACCTCATAAAATTCAGCATTTAAGGCTACATGCTTATATATATATATATATATATATATATATATATATATATATATATTATTATATATATATATACACACACACACACACACACATAGAGAGAGAGAGAGACACACACACACAGAGTTAGGTTTAAATGTTTCTAGCAACTATTGTGTGCATGTATGCACCAATGTGAATTGAGGAAATAATAAATCATTAAATAAATTGTTTAAGGGTATTATAGTAATCTTTGCATATTTAATTATGGTAGATAATTAGTATGTTTATTATCCCTTTAAATATGGGATGTCAAAGTTAAAACCTGTAGAAGAACCCTACAATCGTCGTCTTTGATTTTCTTCCTCCAGATCTCTGTTGTCTCGCTGGTCGTCTTCTTCATTGACCCATCATCGTATATATTCCATACAAAGACAACAAGCATAGTGCGATCTCCTCTGCAGTATTTCCCCCTGACCCCCCCTGCGATTCTGGAAGAGATGAGGGGCAGAGATGCACTCTGCACCAAACCCGGTAGAAATTGGAAGGCAACGAAAGCGGAAGCCCTAATTTTATATCAAAACGATACAAAATCAAGTTTCTGAAGCTATTTCACTTATAGGATAAGTGGGTAAAACCCGGATAGCTAATGGATACGTCTCGATCTTTCCCGTTTCCATGAAAGGGTTTGCGATTTTTTCCCTGTAATATTTGATTTTCGATTCTTCTACTTCTTGATTTCTTGCAATTCTTCCTCTGAATGCTACTGATTTACAATTCTTCACATGGATTTTCTATTTGATTTATTCACTGATTTTCGATTCTTTGATTTTCGATTATCCTTCCTGTTGATTTTTGATTTCACCAGTATACCCACTGTGCTCTCATTCTTCTTTAATTTTAAATATCCATCATTCAAGTTGATTTTGTAATTTAGAATCTGACTTCTATAATGATAGATTGTTCTTGATTTTCCATTGTTCTTGATTGCTCTAAATTTGTCTTTGATGAAAAGGGTTGAGTTGACAATCTGTCAGAATTTGCATGAAAAGAGTTAAGTTGAGGATTTTTTTTTCATATCAGAATGCAAACACATGTTCATTCTATGAGAATATAAATGTTACATAAAACATGTGTTGCTAGCAATGTTCTAAAAAACTCGGCATGGCGCCATGGCTCCAAGGCTTGTATGTATCGTCAACCTTTACCAAAAGGTCGCATTGACTCATATATGTGTATAAAAATAAATAATAGTTGAAAATACGTATAAAAATATGAATTATATACAAATTTCC